CGCGTTTCCACTTCATCTATATTCACTCATCTGATGTATTCTTAGTGGTAAAAGCCGATTATTAGTGTTATTATTATTCCCTTGGAATCCAAGCAGAACATAGGGCTTCAGCAGAACACCTCCCGTTTGTCCTTTTTTCTGCGGTTCTCTTTATTTGGTCCCACGATTGGTCGTAGTCTCTGATCTCTCCTCACACGATCTCCTGCATATCACCCTCAGACTCTCACCCAACTCATCGTTTCCCATTCGCGGTCCACTCGAACGATGGCCTGGTGCGCGATGTCACCCAACAGTGTCTTCTCAGGGTGTGTCCAATCTATCAAAATTTTCTTCACCATATTTGTTGAGTAATAGGTTATTGACTAGTTCGTTGTCTCTTAGAGTTTCTTGCTACTAATACTTCCTGGCCGACTGGCTGGTCATATGATCTTCATTATGGAGCTAGCGAAGTCTGCAGCTGTCTGTTGGAAATGCTTTCGTGAAGCGTGCGTCATGTTTCTTACCCATATGGGAAGAACTTCGTTCTTTATGCTGTTTGCAGTGTAGATGTTTCCTAAACTGATTTCAGAGTGATGAGTGTCCGTTGTGTATGTATGATCTCATCTGGTTTTGACATCCTCATCCAAGATGTTGCTTCACTTATCTGACCAGGCAGAATCGCTTCAACTAAAGGTTACAACACAGATGAGAATATCAAAGTCAGTTGGGATCGTAAAGGCAAGATGGACACTCACCACGCCTAAAGTAGTCTTCGGAAGTCTTCGGTACTAAGCATCGAGAACAAAATTGGGATTTTCAACACCATTGTTAAATCAGTCATCTCTTCTGTATAGGCCAGAGACTCGGTCTACACACCACTACAAGCATTTCCAACAGATGACTGCAGACTTTTATCAACAGCTGCCTTCTATGGTTCCATACTGAAGACCAGATGGCCAGTCAGTCGGCCAGAAAGAACTAGCAACAAGTAGCTATGGAAACAAACCAACCGAGAACTTGTTGCTCAAAGAGCATTTCGTAGGAAATGGAGATGAATCGGAGACACTATGAGGATACCGTCGAATGACATTGCGGTCAATGCAGGCCATTGCTCGAGCGGAAATTGATTGGGAAGCGATGAGTTTGACGTGAATCCTAGGGTGATATGGAGGAGATTGTGTGAAGAGCAATTAAGAGACTATGGGCAACTGTTAAACCAGATGAAGAGGACGGCAGAGAATAGAACAAAGTGGGGATGTGTTGTTTAAACTTTTCCTTTCACTCAGAATTCACTTAGAAAGTAACAATAATGTCATTCGCTCTGAATTCTGCTCCCTTCCTTCTTCACTTCTAAAGGGTATCATTCGAAGGCATATTTAAGAAAAAAAAACAGTGTTTATAGTCAATTTACTTATTCCCACAGGTGTAGGTTTATAGTTGAACTCGCATATATACGGAATTATTATACGCAGCGTATTTCAGTTTCAAAAATCAAAACAAGAGTAAACATTTTTTTAGCATATTTCTGAAATGCAATTTAGTAGTGTTCTCTGAGCTGGTTGGTTTAGTTACGGAGCTTTCGTCGTCCTTCTGGACAACATCCCCTTTCAGCGCAATATTTAGCACAAAGTGAAATGATTTAAATTTCTTCATGAGTGATATAATTGTGTCTCCCGGTAACCATCTTTACATATGTATTGACCATTTTCTATTGACTTGGATTTTAAACTTTCTCGTTAAGTGCTGATTTACTTTTTATTAGTTGGTATATTTCGTCTATATTAACGTGTTTGTTAATTGCATTTTCGTTTGAGTACCAGGCTTCTAGGAATTCCCTGACTGCACTTTTGGTGTTTCCTCTGTCTAAGATTTCGACATTATCCCAATCAAACTGATGTCCATAATTGTCTGTATGTATTGATACTAGAGAATTTATATCATGTCTTTTCACGGCTGATTTGTGTTCCTGGATTCTAATTCGAAGGGGACGCCCACACCGACTCGATGTAATGCCTGTTACAGTTCATACAATTTATTTTGTAAATGGTAATAATTTTATCCCCTTTTCTGTTGGATCTTTCGGTTTGCATAATATTGAATAACGCGATCTGACTGGCTTGTGTGCTATATCTATATCAAACGGTTTCAGTATTCTAGCTGTTATTTCAGAGATATTTCTCATGTATAGTAGGATGAATTTTCTTGTGGTCTTTGATGATGGTTCCTTGTTGGTGTTGTGATTCGATTTTAAGCACTTTTTGATGAAATTTTGTGGATAACCATTCTTTTTGAAGACCGTTTGTAGGTATTTTTCTTCCATTCTTTTCAACTCTGGAGTGCTACAGTGTGTTTGAACTCTTTTAAATAATGTCTGCACACAGTTTCGTTTGTGAGTAATTACATTATTGCTAGTATAGTGTTGAGTATTTGTGCGTTGCTTTTCTATATACTTGTGTTTCTAAATTTCCTGTGTTGGTTCTCCTGATTAAGACATCTAAAAATGGGAGTTTGTTATCTAATTCTTCTTCTCTCCTGGTGAATTTGATGTCTTCAAATATGTTTTTCATTAATTTATGGGTATATTCTAAATCATTTCTCTTAATTATTACAAATGTATCATCAACTTAACGTACCCAGATTTTCGGTTTAATAATAGGTAGAGCCATTAATTTTAATCTTTGCATAACGGCTTCGGCTATTAATCCTGATATGGACGATGATCCCATTGGTGTTCCTTTTATCTATTCATATATTTGAGTATTGAATTGGAAGTATGTTGCAAGGGATAATTATATGAGTTCTATCCAAATTGAACATTGCGTTTTTATGCTTTCATCACTATAGAGTAATTGTTGTATATTTTCTGTTGCTAGTTTTGGACTCATTGAAGTATATGATGCTGTGAGATTGAAGGACATCATTATTTCTGAATTAATTGGGACCATAATATATACATATATATGTTCGAATTGCGTCATTCCGCTTACATATAAAGTTACATATGCTCTTGATTAACATTGCTGATGATAGTGATTCTGTGTCATGTACATTTTGGAGTTCTCCAATCAACGTGCCACCATTGTTGATTGATAATGAATCTAAAAATGGTTTAGGGGATTGTAATTCGTCCTATAAAAACAAGAACATTTTTTTTGATTGGACACCAGTCAGTAACTAGTGTAATGTGTCTAGTCTTATATTCGGTACAGACTGAATTCTACCAGTCAAGTGTACAATGTGGCCACCATTCTAGGTGGCTCGCCATCATGGTGCAATGTGAATTGTTGGTATTAGATAGTTGGAGGCCTGTCTGTCTGTTTTCGACATAGAACTTTGCACCAATATGCGACAGTTCAAGTCGCCACACTCCCTCCTTGTAACACTCAAAGCAAGAGAAGAAAGTAGAAGAAATGCATAATAGAGACAGAAAACAGAGGTGTGAGACAAAGGAAATAGTAGTAACGAAGAACAAAACAGTTTCATTGGAAATCATAAGTCACAAGGAGTGGATGCATCTGCGCTAGTCATTGAGAACGATTTTGAGCCATGTCACCAATTGTTTCCAACCATTGGTTTTTACCGTCCCGAGGACCCCAACCAGGAAGTCTACACCTTCCTACGTGACTGGCTTAGACCAACTGTTGTAGATTTGATTGACTGGTGCGATGTTTTTGTTTGACCGCCACTAGCTCTTTTCCAGTCTGACCCTATATCAGCTGAAATTGCCCATCGAGGAAGGCGATCGATAGCTAGGCACATGTAAAACATGTCCTAACCATCTCAGTCTATGTAATTCCACAGCCTCGTCGATTGATTTCCTCTCCTTACGTAGCACTCCACCGATGCCTAACCTCAATATTGCTCACCTTATTATACCACTTCACACGGGAGATAGAATGCAGGCACCTATGATCAAAGACCGCTAATCTTTTCATGTCTTCCACTCTCAATGGCCAGGTTTTACCGCTAGCCATATAGGAGGACGGAGTGGAGTGATGAGCAGTACACCCGCCCTTTGGTCGATAGTCGGATATCACGTATACGCCAGAGATGGCGTAAACTGGAATATGCGAAACTAGCCCTCTGTATCCGTGGTGAGATTTCGTCAGAAATCAACCCGTTGGTGCTGGCTGATGCAACCTCCCAAATAAGTGAAGCGGTCAACGTGCTCTACCACTTCACTTCCTATTTCTAATCTAGTTGGAGGCCTAGGTTTCGTGCCAGTTGGCACTCACCATCAGCAAGGCGTATTATCTGCAACCTCGAAGGAACTTATGCCCCTATTGAGATTTGAATCCTCGTCACCTCATTAGTGCTGCACTAGTCAGTAATGTGTGTGTGTGTGTGTGTAGTCTTATGCTAGATTCCATCTTATGCAACTGATTCGCTTGATCTAATTTAATACGTTGTATTGTATTTCCTAGATGTTAAATACACTTGTTCGTTTGTGACAAAATTCCCTCCCACACTTAATTGTTTTTCTCTTTTTCCATTTACTACTAGTCATCTTTGTAAATAGTAGTAGTAGTAGTAGTAAAACAGCCTCTTGTATCTTTCTTATATATAATTCTTTTTTAAAATGCCTATTTTTATGCGTGTATAACATCTTTAGATGATGATAGCAATTGTCGTATGTTATGCACATCCTATGGTATGTTATTCATCTAACATTGTAATCGCTATAGGATATTAATAAATAAATATGATAATAATAATAGTCGGGCGAGAGGGCATCTCGAGTTGTTTTGATAATGTGATACAATTATCTAATATTATATATATATATATATATATATATATATATATATATATGATTTCATTTGTTATGATAAGAATGTTTGTTCAGCTGTGTTCATTTTGCCTACATAAAAATAACTCATTTCTCAGCATAGCTGCTTATCTTTTGCTTTTGACTTATTTTTGATTTGTTTTTGCTCTTTTATTTTTTGTGTATATATTTTCCTCGTTCTCCTTAATTAACACTAACTTGTTGCATTCTATATAAATATGTATATATATAGGATGAGAAATCAAAGCTGACGAAAATACCGTCGAATGCTAAGCTGTCCTCTGAGGGAAGAAATCACCGATCACCTCCAAGGAGGATACATCATCCGCTGTTGAAAATAAATCAGATCGTGTCCAGTGTGAATTCAGTATTCCTTTACAACAGTCCAGACTGGTTAGACGAGTGAAATCGTTTACCTCGAATAATCAACCTTCAAGTAAACTTCGTTCACTCATTGTAAGAAAGTATTCTGCAGTCTCCTCGGCTAAATCAGCGGCACGAAATGCTTTCAAAACTGTAGATGGTGATGATAATAATGTGGATAATTCAACTGTGAAACAATTGAAGACACCGCTTGTATCTCTTGAGTCGTTTTATGATCTGTTATGTGCTGTCCTGTCTGAACAGCGAAGATGTTGTGGTCGCCCTGAACACCTAAGTGAAATGAACTGGGATCAAGTATGTTATTAATTAAGTAGATAAGGTTATTATTATTATTTTTATTACATTATTTGTATTTAATATGCTAAGGAAACACGCGCCAGGTAAAATACTAAGTCGCATCACCCTGGAGAGAATAAAATATGCACTAGATGCAGATCTCCGACCGCCGAAACAAGCCGGATTCAGGAAACGTAAATCATGTGCTGAACAAATCGCAACTCTATGCATCGTTATCACGGAACCAAGCATAGAATGGCAGTCAAACCCCTACCTCAACAGCTTCATTGGCTTTGAAAAGACCTTCGACAGGCAGAGTTGACCGTGAAGTAATTTGGAAACTTCCTCAACACTATGGTGTGCAGTGCCCAAGTCTTTGTCAACCTCATCCAACAGTGGCTATATGACAGTGCCAGGTGATCTACAACGGGGAACTCAGCAAAGTGTTCGAATTGAACGCAGGAGTAAGACAGGGCCTTCTATTATAACCGATGATATTCCTGATTGTGGTGGACCGGATTATTCGTCAGACTGTGCATTGGGAGCGAGGAGACAGGAGTACACTGGACCACCGATGAGAAGACTCTAGAAGATCTGGATTTCGCAGATGATATACTTCTAACGTTGCGTAAACTCGAAGACTTATAGGCGAAAACCAACAAACTGATAGAAGAGGCTGGCTGGCAGGCAGCGAAGACTGGACTCCAGGTGAACATAGAGAAGATGGAGTTAATGAAGATAACCAACCAACACCAATAACAACAACCAGCACCATTCACCATCAACGGGTGAGGTATAACAGAGATTACCTCCTTCACTTATCTAGGAAGCATTGTTTCAACTACAGGCGAGTGGGATGGATGAAGATGTCAAAGTCAGAATCGAAAAGGCAAGATACGCCTTCATCATCAACCTGAAACCAATTTGGAAATCTTCTGCACTGAGCTATTCGAGCTGGCAATTGATTCCTTTTTGGGACTGTATTGGATATTTTTAATTGGACACTAGTCAGTAGCTAGTGTAATGTGTGTGTGTGTGTGTGTGTAGTCCTATCTTTGGTGCAGGCTGAATTCTATCAGTCAGGTTTGCAATGTGGGTGACACAGGTTCGAATCTCAGAAGGGACATGAGTGACTTTGAGGTTGCAGATACGCCTTGCTGAGTGGTGAGTGCCAACAACCACGAAAACTAGATCAAGCAAGGCTTCCTGCTGATTGCCTCCAACCACCTTTTACCAACAGTTCACAGTACACCATGATGGCCAACCATCTAACAACGGTGGCGAGCTTGACTGATTGAATTTATTCTTCACCAAAGTTAGGACTAGACACATTACACTAGTTTGTGACTAGCATCCAGTCAAAAAACTGGTCCTTCTTTCTTTATGGAAATTGTTTATTTATTAACGAGATTAAGTCTAAGAAGAAAAGAACGTTAAGAACACTTTACTATTATTATTATTATTGTTCCCTTGGGTTTCTAGTGGAATGTAGGGCTTCAACTGCTAAGAACACTTTGATAAGATGTAAATTCCACCCATAGTAGATATCTTCAACTCATAAAGCAGCACGTATTGTCAATGCGGAATTGAATTCTACTTCATGCGATCTCTCTGATATAATAGACGAATAGTTTAGTCAGCAATTGGTAGAATAATGCGAAAGTAAAAGGCTTTCAAACGAAGATTTACTCCTTACAGCGATATCATTCTCAAGGTGTACAATCGTGCATATGTATATATATATATATATATATATATATACAGTAAATTTCCTACTTAAGAACAAAAAGAATATTTCCAAAGATGTGTCAATAGAATTGTGAATTTCATCGGATAAATTACGTAATATAAAAAGTAAATATCAGATGGAGACTAAACTAAAATTAAATATTTTCTTTAGTTTGGTTTGTAAGGGTTAAATTTGTTTTTACGAGTTTGTTCACGGATTGATATCAGTTAGAGAACCATTGAAAACAAGGGAGTACTGGACAACTGCTGTTTCATCCTAGTTTGGGAATCATCGGAAGTAGGCACCCACCACCAGGGTTCGAACGCAGGACCTTCCGGTTACAAGGCAAGCTAGCTCGTATACCATTCAGCCACTGGAATCAACTCGTAAAAACAAAACTAACCCTTACAAACCAAACTATAGAAGAGTAATCTGATGCTCGTTAGTGACTTGCTACAGGATGGAGTTTCCTGGAGTCAGTTCTAGTGAGAAGTCGTGACCAGTGAGGTTCATCCAGATGTCACGTGTGAGGATGGATGTCCCACCAACTACAATGGTTGGGGTCGCGCTAAATCACGAATTGGTAGAAGTTAGAATTCATGAGCCATTGGATCGGTTCCCAGTGGCTGAATGGTATACGAGCTAGCTTGCCTTGTAACTGGAAGGTCCTGGGTTCGAATCCTGGTTGTGAGTGCGTACTGCTGGTGATTCCCGAACTAGGATAAAACAGCTGTCCAGTACTCCAATGCTGGTTTTCAGTGGCTCTCTAACTGATATCAATCCGTGATCAACTCGTAAAATTAAATAATTGGAGTGACATAATGTAATTGCTCATGTGGAGCTAGGTATGTCAGCTGAACCCAGCGTTTCCTATCGAAACGTATCACCTATTACTTATCTTCATAGTTTTATAAAGGAGAGAAAAGATTCTCACTCCCACAGCTCTGTCGTGAAACACCTGATGAAATGTAGACAAACCTACTTCATAGTCATCTACAAAATACATGGAAATCTTGCTAAAAGAGCACGAATCAAACTTCTTCAAAACCACAGAAACCAATTCTCATGTTAAATCCTGAACTGTGTATACAAACAAGTTTGATGAGTCATTGAATCTACACTAAACCTGATCTTTCTTAACACTGGATTTCCTTCCCCCACCCCTTATTACCAGTGTTATTAACTTGACTCTCGTCCAATTTTAGTTGGATTCCGCTCAACTTCATCAATTATATTGCGTCATTCGATCAATTTATTTAATTTGATTTTAGTTTCTACCTGATTAACACTCTTTACATTACACGACTTGTTATCTAAAATGTATAATTCTAATGACAAATCTTTGGAAATATTCCTGGGTTCAACTCCGATCGATGCGTGCTGATGAAGAGTATCAAACTAGGACGAAACAGCTGTCCAGTACTCCAGATAGTTTTCCGATGGTTCTTTAACCTCTGTCAGCTTATGATGAAATCTTGAAACCAATCGAATCCTTGCAAACCAACAACAATTGAATATACCTTTTGTTGTTAATATATTTGATTGTATAGCTTGAGAATGGTCTCAGTGAAAAGAGTAACTTTTTGCTGCACGTCTTCCCTTTTTAAATGACTTAGTGGGGATTATTAAGTTAGTAAAATAATGGGCAAGAATTTCGCTGACTGTCATTATCAGTGTGTGTTCATCAAGTAAGTGTATAAGTGTGACAGGAAACTGCCTTATTTTATGCTATACTTTGCAGGATAATATATAATGCCTATTTTGAATAATTTAAAGCTTCCTTCAATCAAGATTATGTACTTGTTTCATTGGTTTACGCCATTTCTATGCTTCTATTTATATTTTAGATTGAGCAAGAAAAATTCGACATACAAAAGGGTCTTTTATACTTTGAAGGTCTTTACGGTCGACCAAAAACTCCCAAATCTAAACGAATCATGAAACCAGTATATGAACGATATCGTCAAGTGAAACGTTTAGTTGCAAGCCGACACAGCGGTAGCCTACTTGGAGTGAATAGTCAGTTTCCATTCGGTAAAGATTTATCCCACTTAAAAGTAGTGTCGACTAATGATGTCGACGAAAAGCTGACAAATAATCAACTGCCATTTTTAGTTTCTGATGAATTAATGAAACTGCTTGGCACTCCGACACGTACACCTGAAGCACTTCTACTCGATAATATTCAAGATGATATGGACTCAGATTCTGATTTCAGTGTATCTCAATGTGTAAATAATAAGTGTGAAAAGACTGCCCCACCTGTAGAAGAGTCTAATCAACGAGATGTTGTTTTAAAATCATCTGATAATCATAACTTGTTAACTGATGACAATCAAAGTGCTAGGTTCGCATTTAAGTCGAATTGTCGTCGATCTCTTATGAGACCGAATGATCGAGAAATTCAACTGTAAGTTTTCATTCGGGCTGTTGTTTTGTTTTTTCTTCTAAAAATGTTTTTGTTTTGATGTGTTATCTAGTTTGTGAAATCCATTTCTCTTTATCAATGATTATTAGTCAAAGCTGCATTCGAAATCACGATATATCAGATAATCACTTCGACCCTAGTGTGTCGTTTCAAATCCGTGGATATTTATAACCTCTTCAAGCAACAGATCTGAAGGCTTTTCAAGTTTGATATTCGTGAGGTTTCAGAAAGATAAGGAGTAAAGTGGTGGCTGAGTGTGTCGGCCACCATTTCACTTATTTGTGAAGTTGAATCAATCCCGACGGACTAATCGCTAACGAAATCTCAGCACGGATACAAAAGGCTCGTGTGGAGTACGCCAACTTTTATCATCTCTTAATATGTGTAAAACTTGGGCACTGTGGTAGTAAGTAATTCCATATTAGTTTGTTTATTAGATGTATCATACACAGTAAAACAGTATTATTTACTGGATGACGAGGTTTCGAACAAAATTTATTGTTCATAATCATATCAATTTTGATCACACGACTCCGAAACTTGAGTTTTATAGTTTTCTTTGTCTTCTCCTATTTGTCGTCGTAGGGGTAGTAGAATTTTCCAGATATCTGGGGCAGGTGTTGAATCATTCCTATTACATGTATTTGCAGTTGATTCGATAAACGAAGCTTCTGTTATCAATCTCTCCCTGCCTACACCCTGTGACATTAGATTTTAAAACTGTCATCTTATCCCATCCATTTTATTGTAGGGTCGTGTGTAATTGCAAGTAGTGAGTGGTATAGCTGAATATTCTCTAGACTGCTTATCTTATTCGGGTCAAGTAATCTAGAATTTGCTAGGTTTTTATGCTCAGCTAGTCTGACTACCCCTGTTCTACTGCTTTGACCTAACAATCATTGCAGCAGGGTATTAGGTAAACTAAATTGTTTTATTTTAAAGGCTCCACTGGCAGGATCCTTTAACCGACAAAGCTTGTTTCTAATTGAGTTTGTGGTTGGTTTGAATGTCAGCCACTTTTATTCCTGCCTTGTTGAGAATTCTGCGTATGGTTTCCAAGGTTTCTTCCTTGTATGGAATTACTACTGATGATTTAGATTTCTTATTGTTGGTGTTGCCTTGCGCACATTTGACTGGCATGTCGTCATTAATATTATTATTATCACTGTCACTACTATCATTATTTATTTTATTTTTACGTTTCCTTACATACTTTCTGACCAATTTATCAGGGTAATTATTAAGTTCCAAAGCTTCTGGTTATATGCTTCACTTCCTGTCTTAGATTTCTCTTGGTACTACTGAGTTTTTGTGCTCTGTCATTTAAACATTTCATCAATCCTATTTTTACTGACATAGAATGGGATGATCGGAAGTGTAAATATGGAATATAATATGGAATCATATAATCTCTGGCGTAGAAATGATATCCGCCTGGTTATCGATCAAAGGATTTGTGTACTGCGCATCAGTTCTCTCTCTCTTCCTTTATGACTATGAGACATGGCCATTGAAAGTAGAAGACATGATGAAAGGCCAGCTGTATTTGATCATAGGTATTTGCGTTCTATCCTCCATGTTAGATGACATATTATTATTACTGTACTCTTGGGTTCGGGTGGAACAAAGGGCTTCAACAGCACTACTTTTTCCTGTTCTCTGAAGTCCTCTTTAGCTGGCCCAACCACTTGCCCATAGGTTCTCATCTCCTCCTGGAACAATCTCCTTCATGTCACCCTCCGACTCACCCGAAACTCATCGTTTTCCATACACCTTCCATTGGAGTGATGGCACACACTGCACGAAATGTCACTCGACAGTCTCCTTAGTATATGCCCAGCCCATCCCTGTTTTCCTGACCATATTTGTTAAGCAGTCGCTTCTTAGTTGGTTCGTTCTCGCAGTTTCTTGTTACTAATACTTTCTAGCCTTCCATCTAATCTTCAGTATGGAGCTAAGGCAGCTGTTGATAAAAGCCTGCACTAGCTATTTTTGAAATGCTTTTCGGGATGTGCAATGCAAATTTGGGAGGCTTTTAGAAGAACTGATTCACTCATTCAACGTTGGTGTCGAAAATCCGAATTTTGTTATTTATGCTGAGGAATCTAGATGATTTCCTAACCCGTTTGAGAGTGATAAACTTGTGCCATACCTTTAAAATGCTGTCTGGTTTTGACATCTTCATCTGTTCTGCCTGTAGTTGTAACGATAGTGATGTAGTGATTGGATGTTGTTACTGTTGTTGTTGTTGGTCGCGGGGTATCTTCGTCACCTTATTCCTCTCTAGGTTCAATTCAAGTGCTATATTCTCTGCCAGCATCTTCTTCGATCTCCTTGATTTTCGCCTATAATTCCTAGAGTTCTCATGACAGTACCCATGAATCAATCGAGATTCTCCTTATCAACCTAACTTATTCCTGTCTTCTCGCTTCCCACTAACGTTATTCTACATTATCCACTCCGCCACATTTATTAATGTCACTGGCGATGGCAGGAAGCCATTCCTGTCTTACTCCTCTCTTCACTTCAAAGACGTCGCTAAGCTTCCGCTTGTCCATCATTTCAAATGTGAGACTGTCATACAGCTATGAATGAGGCAGCGTAGTAGGGCGAGTAAAATTGAGACCAGGAGTCGAGTGTTAGGCAGGCAGCGAACGTCCATCGATGAGATTGTAAAGCTACATCGACATATAAAGCTAGCATATGTGTCACGCATCCCAAGCCATCGCCTTCGTCCACGGGGAATGTTAGCACACAAACGATCAGCTTCGAAAAAGAGCTAGTTGGTGATCAAACCAAAACATGCCAACAGTCCATGAAATCTCCAACAGGTAGTTTGATCCACGTAGAGAAGTTTCAACTGCTTCGCTGGTCGGGGTCATCATCGGAAGTCTCAGGACCAACATCTGAATGCAGTTGGTCACATGGCTTCAAATCGTTCTCAATGGCGTTGATGCATTCATTCTCTGTGATCTCCCATATCTAGTAAAACCCAATGGTTTTTCCATGTTACTATTCTTTCTTCCTCACACATTCCTGCATATTATCGTTCTCTCGAATAGCCTTATTTCTCTCTTTCCCGTCCTTGTGTGATACATGCGGGAAGTGTGCGATCTGCTCTATTTCTGTGCAGTTGCCTTTTCTGTGTTGTGAAACCAGTCAGTTACAATAAACTCATATAAAAGTGGGTGTCATGTTTTGCCTCATAGGAAGAAATCTCTATCAGACAACAAATTTGTACTATTACTATCACTACTGTGTTTTGTTGTTTATTTCTCCGTAACATTGGTAAATTTAGCAACCTAATAATAATATTTACTATTTACGAAAGTGTGAAAAATTCTTACGGGACAGTTTTCAAAATTCGATATTTAACTGTGCAAATGTATGAATTGCACATCTTGATGACACTGAACACACTTTTATTTTTGTTGTGTGTATGCTCTTCAGTCAATAACATTTGCCAGTTGCACACACTGACTGTTTATCACACGGTGACTAGAAGAACAGTTAAATATGGGGTTAGGCTATATAAAGTACAGTTTTTTTAAAATTTGTTTAATAAAAGGTGAACTTAGCATACGGAAGGATGAACCACACACAATTTCATAGTTTGTACGTGGGCTAGGATGATACTGCTCGGACTCCAAGACAGAAGTAAGTGGTTGCCTTAAAGGGTCACCCCTTCCAAGCCTTTCAAGACTTGAAGTCTTATCCATCAGTCAGGAGCAATTGCGTCCCCATAGTTGCCGGTAACCCAAACAGCTTCAGACCCCTTTCGATCTAGTCGGATTCTGAAGCTCATATACAGCAAAGGTTTGAAATCAGCGTTTCTGTACTCCCCACCCCACCTCTAGGTGGACCTGCATATCTACCTATCCGGTTGTAATCTCCAGATGATGATAGCTTTTCACCCTTAGTGAGAAGGCAGTTATGAATAGGAATTATCTGTTAGAGGCTATGAACGTGTGGCCACATGGCAGAGTATTTTGAGAGGAAGACGTGTCTATCCACTCTCTAGCTTTATTTTTATCCTTATATCTTTTGCTTTGATTCATGTACTATTCCTAAGTGTGATAGTATTTTTATAGCAACCAAACAGTGTCAAACGTCTTGTACAGATGAGTTTGATAGTAAGTAGGATAAGGGAATTTCATGTATTACGTCTTCATGTACTGGTTCATGTGTACAGCTTGTTCTTTTGTGACAGTCAGTTGTATGTCAAAGATCATGACTGTATACATTTCATTGTATTGTATCTAGACAACAAACTCTGTTGGATTCATACTTAAGTCAGTGAAGTATTATCAACTTATGAAGCGTGAAGTCTTCTTCTTATTCAACAGAAAGTATATAACTAAGGGATGTGATCTAGATGTCTGTTCCTGTAGATAACTTTAAAGGATAAATCACGTGACACTGTTAATGATCTGACTCCACAAGGTGTTCACAAATAGCAGACTTCGTCATCCTATGCTCACCTTTCATTAAATCAAACCGGGTAGTGTTCACCTAGGCGTTTACGGAGGACACGCTTACAACGTTCAAACAATCAGCTCCAACGAGCATGTGAATGAGTAAATATGCATAGAGGTAGATATAAGCGATAGTCTATCCTTGACGCATTGTCGAATCATATTTCGTCTGGTAAATACTAAATACAAGTCAGCTGCATAGAAAGAGAATATAATACATTTATATAGAGGACTTTTAGTCACTTGTATTCTCTCTCTATGCAGCTGACTTGTATTTAGTATTTACCAGACGAAATATGATTCGACAATGCGTCAAGGATAGACTATCGCTTATATCTACCTCTATGCATATTTACTCATTCACATGCTCGTTGGAGCTGATTGTTTGAACGTTGTAAGCGTGTCCTCCGTAAACGCCCTAGGTGAACACTACCCGGTTTGATTTAATGAAAGGTGAGCATAGGATGACGAAGTCTGCTATTTGTGAACACCTTGTGGAGTCAGATC